TCTCCCTGTCTGTATCAGGCAAGGCCCTGGGCTGAGCCCCGGGCGGAATTCTCCAGTGCAGAGAGCATGATCTTAACCCTCCTGTGTGAAGGCGAGCAAAGGTTAAGCCTGCCTTTGCCCTTTTGGAGGAAGCGGGAGGTCATGGTCCATACGTCTGCGGGCGGTGATGCTGCGCCCTGGCCACGGCAGGACCCTGGGGCCAGCCCCGCTCCTTGCTCTTGGGCCAGCTGGTCTGCGATGCCACAGTGGGTGTGTTTCCCATTCTACACATGGCGCCCTGCTGCTCAGGGGCAGGGCTGTCGCATGAAGTCCCTTAGATCTGCCTGCCTTCTCGCAGCGCGGTCCAGGGGCAGGGGCAGGGGCAGGGGCAGCAGCATCACCTGGGGGCTTGGCAAGAACGCCCACTCTCCGGCCTCCCCCAGGCCTCCCGAGTCGGGGTGCGGTACAGCAAGGCCTCCGGGAGTCCTGTGCACATCACAGTTAGAGAAGCGCTGCCTTAAACTCAGGGGGATGTCTTGTCTCCGGCACACACAGGACAGGACACGGGCCCGAGCCGGCAGACGGCTCACTGAGGACCTGCCGTGTGTGAGGCAGTGGCCTAGGAAATCTTGGGTGAGGATTACACATCCCTGCCTGGGGAGTCGGGGCCCAGTATTGAGAGCATCAAGCACGTGAGTCCCTGATGTTTTAGACGTATGCTGGGCCCACCAGCGTAGTCAGCAACTCCAATATTAACTCTAGGTTCGGTTTAGCTGCCTGGAAGGCGATTTGGTCCTCGCTGCAGATACTGAAGCCACGGCGGCTGTCCCTCAGCCTGTCCCACGTGGCCAATGCAGGCAGGAGTGGTGACCCACAGTCCTATCACCAGTAGTGACAAGTTCCAGTTAGTTATGATGTGGTGTCTGCATGGGAGATTTTAAATAGTTGTAGCCAAAACACCTCTAGGATGGAAATGAAAACAAGCTGTGTAATTTACGTGTGTTCTCTTTTTTGAAAAATCAGGGACGTTCTCCCGTTCACGTTGAAGTTGCCTTACGCCATCGCAACAGCCAAGACGGAGGCCCAGCTCGAAGAGTTAGCCCAGCTGGGACTAAGTAAGTGGTGCCCCTGCCCTGGCTCTCTTGAAATGAAAGCGTGGAGCGGAGCCGGTGTCAGGCTGGTGGGCGATACAGTGTGACGTCCAAAAGTCATCCTTGGCGGGGAAGGTACAGCTCAGTGGTACAGAGCGTGTGCTCAGCACGACAAGGTCCTGGGTTCAGTCCCCAGTATCTCCATTAAAATAAGTGAGTGCGTAAATAAATAAATAAATAAATAAATCTAATTACTTCCCTCCACCCCACCCCCACAAATAATCCTCCTCTCCTTGGCAAAACTCCATGAGGTCCCTGACTCACACCTGCTGAGTCTTTTTCTGAGTCAGACGTTGAACCAGCAGCCAGAGGCAGGTGCTGAGTTTACCTGAGGAGCCCCTGAACTGCCCCCAGCATCTCCCGTTGGTGAGTTTGAGCTCCCCAAACGCCCAGGTCCTAATAGAAGGTGAACTTCTGCCATGGGTGGGGCCTTCCTGTGGCATCTTGCAGGGGGAGCGCAGTGCCTGATGCGGGGGAAGCAGCTTGGCGCCTCACGTGCACGGGTTTTATTTTAGACGAAGGCAGGGCATTGGCGGCACGTCTGTGCTTTGAGGAATTTGTCAGCAGGCGTCCAGAGTAACATCTGTCTGACTTCCCCTTGTGTTCAGTTCCGGCCCTGGTGTGCTGGGCTGGGGGTTCTGAGTGTCCTCGCAGCGGCCAGCCAGGCCCTCGCCACCCCTCCCTCCACCGCCCCCAAACACAGCACCCTGTGCCAGCCAGGCAGTGGGGGGCAGGGGCTCAGGATGTGCGATTCCCCCCGGTTTCACTTCCTGGTCCTGTTGCCTGGGAAACCTGTGGGTTTGACTTTCGTAGAAACGTTTTCCTCCTCCATGGGAAGGGGGGATTCTCTGAAGATTTCAGGGCTTCAGTCTTCAGACAGACCAGCTGCCAGAGCAAGTATGTGGGTGGAAGTCTAGGATTCTGAAGGGCAGGCACCAGGATTCCGAGGACCCAAGAAGCTGTGCCACTTGCCGCAGCAAATAAAAAATACATGTGTTCTCCTCTGGCAAGTTTTCCTCTCAGTCTGAAGAACTTGTTTTGTAGAGGGTGCCCTCGCCCAGGGAGCGTGAGGTTCACAGGGAAGCCGGGAGGGACACTGACAGTCCCCGTGAGACTTGGATTGCCTCAGAGGAACTGCCACGTGGGCCCGAGGCCCGTCGGCTGGGCAGCTGGGCCCAACGGCTGGGAACCAGAATCCTGGTAAAAATACCAGGGCGGCCTAAATGTCCCTGCTGAGAGGTCTCGCAGCCTCTGCGCGGGCTTCACCCACCTGGGAGAGAGTCTGGGATGTTTGCTGAGTTTGAAGTACAGGGTCGGCCAGCGCGTCGGCCTCTTGACGTGCAGCTGGGCTCCGTGTCCTGCAGTGACGCCCGCCCCCACGACTCCCGGTTCGGTGGCCGGCCTGCTAGGCGTGCTTGGTGCCGGGGCTCGTGGACGGAAGCGTCCAGGGTAGCACTTGTGTCCTGCAAAGATGACGGTGAGGAAGAGCTTGCTCTGGTGGCCGCTCACCGGAAGCAAATAAAAAGTCCCATGGTGGGGGAGGTGTAGCTTAGCGATAGAGCGTGTGCTCAGCATGCACGAGGTCCTGGGGATTGAACTTTAAAATAAGTAAATAAAATACATACATACATACCTAATTAACACCACCCACAAAAGAAGTGGCACAGCAGTGGCAGTGGGAGTCCCCGGAGGACCCAAGTGCGGTGAGCGCGGCTCCGCACCGGCCAGCAGAAGTGCATCTAAGGCCAGCCAGTGGGTACTTCTCAGTTTTCTAGTACCCACCTTTAAGAAAATTAAAGGTGAAATTCATTTTTATAATTTATTTAATGTAATATCTGAAATGTTATTTCAGTATACAGTCAGTATTTTTCGAAGTATGAATAGAACAGTTCACCTTTTTTTTCATAGTGTTTGAAATCCAGCACATATTTTGTCCTTACAGCATGTCTCAATTAAGGCCCTAAATTTTCCGCAGAAATACACGGATCTGTATTTAATGATTTCATTAAATTT